CATTCAGGATCTTTGTTCTTTCCCTTTCACACTATATATTGTTATATTATTTATGGAATTTCCAGGTTGCGTTTTTCATACTTGCCTCTACTGGTATATATATATATATATATATATATATATATATATATATATATATATATATATATATATATATATATATAATACACACACACACACACACACACATATATATAGATATGTATATATATATATATATATATATATATATATATATATATATATATATATTTATATATAAATATATATATATATATACATATATACATATATATATATATATATATATATATATATATATATATATATATATATATATATATACATATATATATATATATATATATATATATATATATATATATATATATATATATAAATATATATATACATATATACATATATATATATATATATATATATATATATATATATATATATATATATATATATATACATATATATATATATATATATGTATATATATATATATATATATATATATATATATATATATATATATATATATATATATATGTGTGTGTGTGTGTGTGTGTGTGTGAAAACATGCATCCGTACATACATACACACAAAAACAAAAGACAAACAAACACACACACACACACACACACACACACAAACACACACACACAAACACACAAACACACACACACACACACACACACACACACACACACACACACACACACACACACAAACACACAAACACACACACACACACACACACACACACACACACACACACACACACACACACACACATAGGATACCTGTACTGTATCTCACATTACAGTGCCGAGAGCCTGCATTACGTGTTGCGTAGCAGGATGTCCTGAAAAAGACGAAGGGAAATACGAAGAGCAGTATTTATGAGCCACAACGAAGCTGCGTGAGGTAGAAAGAGTCTACGTAATGATAACATCTTTATGAAGCTGAAATAGGTATGTAATTGGAAAACACATCCCACTAATGCTCGTGCGCAATTGCAGAAGGGAACGAGGAGTGCATAACTGGGTGTATGTAGAGAGTGCGGGCTTTCTGAATTCCGTGCAGTGCGGGTGCGTGCAGGTGACGAAGTTAAATAAAGCAAGGCAAGTGTCATGTGTCAGAACAACAGCACATCGATTTTGTGGATCAACGAACTTTTTGTGTTGAGTGGTAGTGATGTTGCAGCTGACAGCTCATGGTCCGCACGGCCTCCATGTGGCTGGTGGGGGATCTGGGTCAAACATAAAGGTGAGGGACCACGGGGTTGCCCATGGGTAGAGAGGTTCCTGCGGTAGTGTGGAAGGAGCGCCTCAGGAAGGGCCGGGATGCGCGCGCAGGGCCTCTGCGCCGTCGCGACCGCTGGCATCTGAGAGCAGCCTGAGTCGTCAGTGATGGTAAAACCAGTGTAGCGCGCGGGCAGTGTGTGTCTCGCTCGCGCAGTAGTGGCCCAGTGATGCAGAGCGACCAGTGAGTTCAGCGTCTGAGCGATATGCTGCCCGCGCTCCAGGGGGGGCTGTATACCTCCCCTTCGCGCCCCCTCCCCCCTCCTACAACGATGGTGACATCGTCTAATGGGGCGCCAGCAGGTCCCCCGCCGCCCTCCCAAAGATCTCGTTATCAGCTGCAGTATTGCGACGCCTGCAACACGGCCTGTGTCTTCATGACAGGGCGCCGCCGCAAGTTCCAGGCGCGGTACGAGGGCTATGTGCTCCTCAAGCGGGTGTCGGCCCCCGCCTGCCGACTCTACCTGCCCTACGTGATGGCGGAGCGGCAGAACCCCGCGTACCATCGGCGGCACTCCTGCGGCGACGTCCTCGATGAAAATGGCGAGGCTCCCGCCGAGGCCCCTCGCCCCCCCGCCCCCCAGGTCTCGCCCTCGGCGTCATACGGCAGGTCGATTTCCAACGGGGACTGGCGGCGCGATGACCCTCCGCCCACCTGGGGAAAAGTTGTCAATCTTGATGACTCGAGTCAGGCGGACCCCCGCCCCCCCACGCCCTCGAACGAAGCCCCGACCTCCGCCCCGCCCGCAGCCAATGGCGCCCAGGAGCCGCAGGGCCGCAAGCCGCGACGCCACTCGGCCATGATGGAGCGGCTCGCCTGCGGCCACCAGCGGCTGTGTCGGAAGAAGTCTCGCTCGCAGGACAACCTGGTGGGGCAGCGGGAGAGCGGGGGCGACGGGCCCCTCCGCCTCAACAACAGCGTGATCCCGCCGCCCGCAGCGCTCACCTCGGCCCTCTCGCGCTCCGAGGGCAGCATCCACAATGTGCACGCCGTCCTCTCCACTGTCCCCGTCAATGTGGATGATGTGGATGTGTGTGCAGGCGGCCTGAGGGCTGGCGAGCTCGGCCGGCTGCCCAAGCGCTTCCTCCATCGCGTGACGGGGGAGGTGGGGCAGCTGGTGTTCGACCTTGAGGGCTGGCGCGAGGAGTACCTCGTCCTCACTCATACCGCCATCTCTGCCAGGACGGTAAGGCTTCCTCCCGGTCCATGTTGCCAGAATGGACTTTACCCATTCGTCATATTCTCTGATGCTAACATAATTTTACAATATAATAAAACACATATCAAACATACAAAAAAAAACTACAATTAAGCACATAATAATAAACAACAAAAAAAATCCCAAAAATAAAAAGGAAAAAAGTCATAAAAGAAAAACAAAAAATCAATGCGCCTCCCACCACCTTTCGCGTCAAGATATCACACACAGGCACTCTTGCTTGCAATACGTCTCCCTCTATCTCGCTACAGGCCTTTGGGCAGTCAGCAAGCATGCAACATTAATGGCGATCACATGACAAGGAGGTCATGCGCGGGTATTCATGAATTCTGATCACGGTAAAGTAACAATAATGATAAGAATTATAGTATCGAGGTTCAAGATCGCAAAACCGGTAGTAGAATTGTTGTGAAAAAACGCTATTATTGTTATAAACATACAGATAAAGCTGACGTCAGGAATTTAATTGTGATAAAAATAAATAAGGAAAGGAAAAATTGAAAGCGTGCGATGGTATTGATGTTTTTTATTCGTATTTTAATGTTATTGCGGCATTTTAAAGCTGTTAAATGTTAACTGTGAATAAGGACAATGACTGTTGTTGCCATTATCATTATTGTTATTGTTGTTTTTATTATTATTATTATCATTATTGTTGTAGTTGTTATTATTGTTATTATCATTATTGTTGTTGTTGTTGTTGTTGTTGTTGTTGTTGTTGTTATTATCGTCGTCATTAGCATCACCATTATCATTATCATTATTGTTATTATTATTATTATTATTATTATTATTATTATTATTATTATTATTATTATTATTACTATTATTGTCATTATTATTATTATTGTCATTGATACTATTATTATTATTAGTAGTAGCATTAGTAGTAGTATTATCATTATCATTATTATTATTATTATTATTATTATTATTATTATTATTATTATTATTATCATTATTATTATCATTATTATTATTATTATTATTATTATTATTGTTGTTTTGTTGTTGTTGTTGTTCTTATCATCATTATTATTATTATTATTATTATTATTATTATCATTATTATTATCATTATTATTATTATTGTTATTATTATTATTATTATTATTATTATTATTATTATTATTGTTATTATCATTATTATTATTATTATTATCATTATTATTATTATTATTATTATTATTATTATTTTTATTTTTATTTTTTTATTTTTATTATTGTTATTATTATTGTTATTATTATTATTATTATTATTATTATTATTATCATTATTATTATTATTATTATTATTATTATCATTATTATGATCATCATCATCATCATAATGATTATTGATTATCATCATCATTACCATGATCATTATATATTTTTTTCATTACTATTATCATCATTATCAGTGCCATGGTCGTTGCAATTATTATTATCATAATAATCATTATATTATTATGAGTATTACTTTATATTATTAATATTATCATAATCATTATTATTATTATTATAATTCTTCAACATCTTCTTCGGACTATAATCTTTATTATTATTAATATTATGAGTACGATTAAGATTATTATTATTATCATTATTACTATTATTATTATCAATAGTGTTATTATTATTATTGTTAAAATTACTGGTATTATTATCATTTTTATTATCATTATTATTATTATTATTATTTTTTTATTATTGTTGTTATTATTATTATTATTATTATTATTATTATTATTATTATTATTATTATTATTATTATTATTATTATTATAATTATCATAATTATCATTATCATCATTTTTATTATTACTAATATTATTGTTGTAATTATCGATAACATTGTTCTTATTATTGTGATTATCATTGTTATTATTATTATTACCACTATCTTTATCATTATCATTGTCATTATCTATTATATTGTTATTGTTATCGTTACCCTTATTATCATCACCATCATCATCATTATAATATTATATTATTGTTATAATTATTATTATTATTATTACTATTATTATTTTTATTATTATTATTATTATCATTATCATTATTATTACTATTATTGTTATTATCATTGTTGTTGTTGTTATCACTATTATTGTTATTATTGTTACTATTATTATTATTATTATTATTATTATTATAATTATTATTATTATATATAATAATAATGATAATAATAATAATAATAATAATAATAATAATAATAATAATAATAATTATTATTATTATTATTATTATTATAATTATTATCATTATTATCAGTGTTGCTGTTGTTATTTTTGTCATCATCATTATCATTGTTATCACTGTTATCATATTTATCATGATTATCAATATCCTTTTTGCAATGATAGAAACGGAAATAAAGACAGTAATAGTAATTAAAACAAAAATATGAATTGTGATGATGAAAATACGAGTAATGTTAAAAATAGTATGTATAATAATAGTATGTATAATAAAGATAATGATAGTGATAATGGTAATGATACTACTACTACTACTACTAATAATAATAATGATAATAATAATAGTAATAATAATAATAATAATAATAATAATAATAATAATAATAATAATAATAATAATAATAATAATAATAATAATGAAAATAATGATAATGATAATGATATTGAAAATGATATTGATAAAACTGATAATAATAATAAAAAATAATGAAGATAATAATGAAAATAATGGTAATGATGACGGTAGTCATAATGAAAATAATGATAATAGTAATAGTAAAAGTAATAGAAATAGCGATAATAATAATAATGATAATAATAATAATAATAATAATAATAATAATAATAATAATAATAATAATAATAATAATAATAATAATAATAATAATAATAATAATGATAATAATAATAATAATAATAATAACAACAATAATAATATAACAATATTAATAATCATAATGATAATAGTATTAATGATAACCATAATGATAAAAAATATTAACATTAATAATGATGATAATAGCGATAACAATAACAACTGCAAAAAATAGTAATAATGATAATCATAATAACAGTAATGAGAATAATGATGGCAGTAGTAATAGTAATAGTAATAATGATAATGATGAAAATAATAATAATTATGATGGTGATGATAATAATAGTAATGATGATGGTGATAATGATAATAATGATTATGATAATAATGACAGTAATGATAATAATAATAATAATAATAATAATAATAATAATAATAATAATAATAATAATAATAATAATAATAATAATAATAATAATAATGATAATAATAATAATAATAATGATATTAATAATAATAATAATAATAATAATAATGATGATGATGATGATGATACATATCTCTTTAATAATTTGCATTTGATTCTCAAGTAAAAAACGCGAAAACGAAGCAAATATTGCCAAAGAAATAGTACAACATCTCCTAAGGCTGTGGACTATCTTACGCTCGAGAGATCGAAATTTTCCGAAGAAAGATTTTAGATCCTTGAGACAAATAAGATGAAGAACGGGGGGGAGGGGGGGGGAGAGTAAGCCTTATCCAAGATTTACAGAGAGTCTTGCTTCGTCTTCGAGGAATCCTCCCGTTTTCCTGGCTCTCTTTTGTCACTTGATTGCATCGTTTTTCGTTGAATGCGATCTTCGGGACACGGGACGCGCCATCCAGGGCTTGCTGATCGTTGATTATTTCCCGGACGGATGCTGGGGAAGGAGTTTTTTATGGTTTGCGTTATGCTTTTTGATATTCTTACTGTCGCTGTTTGTCTGGCTCTTTCTGTCTCTTCCTCTCTCTCTCTCCTTCTCTCTCTCTCTCCTTCTCTCTTTCTCTCCTTCTCTCTCTCTCTCTCTCTCTATCTCTCTCTATCTAGCTATCTCTTTATATATATATATATATATATCTATCTCTCTCTCTCTCTCTCTCTCTCTCTCTCTCTCTCTCTCTATATATATATATATATCTATATATATATATATATATATATATATATATATATATATGTATATACATATATATATATATATATTTTTTTTTTGTGTGTGTGTGTATTATACTGTACATATCTCAAGCTTCGCATCCGGTTCGAGAGAGCAGCCATAGAGAGAGAGAGATACGTGCGCGTACATTCGAAATCTTCGACTCTGCCTCCAGCATGCTCTCTCTCTCTCCTCCCCTCGTCCCAACCTGCTGCGATACGAGCATCCGCCATCGCAGCATCCAAGCCCGACCCAGCCTCTCCATCCCACGACCATCCCCCTCCCCCTCCCCCTCCCCCCCATGATAGAGCGAGAACTTAAAGCTGAACACCCATGTCGACGGCGACCCATTCCCACCCACGCGGTCGTCTCCTCGGTCCGCTGATAATGAGGATGATAGTGATGAAAATAATGATAATTTTAATGATAATGATGATAATGAAGGCTTACGAGTCATGGGTGTTCTGGAGCCGCTCGAGCTTCGTGGACTACGCAGCCGGTGATCTTAACGTCCCTCGGTGATGTGTTGGTCTGCATTCACTCACTGCATGAGGGCTAGCTAGACTTCGCCAATCTCACTCAGTCATTCACTCATTCACTCGCTAACTCATTCATTCATTCATTAACTCACTTACTCAATAACTCATCCATTCATTCATTCATTCACTTACTCACTCACTCAATAACTCATCCATTCATTCATTCATTCATTCACTTAGTTACTCATTCACTCACTTCATAAGGGCTAGACTTCGCCAATCTCACTCACTCACTCATTCATTCATATATTCATTCATTCACTCACTCACTCAAGAACTCATTCATTCATTCATTCACTCATTCACTCACTGCATGAGGGCTAGACTTCGCCAATCTCACTCACTCACTCATTCATTCATTCATTCATATATTCATTCATTCACTCACTGCATGAGGGCTAGACTTCGCCAATCTCACTCACTCATTCATTCATTCATTCATATATTC